TCGTCATGTTTCATTCTGGGGAACCGATTTCTGCGTTAATGCCATCACTCACCATTTTAATTCAAGAAAGCAAGAAACTATCATGATATTCATAGCATATCTAAACATAGTCAAAGCAGAACTCAAAACTGCGTGAATGAATCATTCTTGTTGGGCCGGGAGGAGAGGATATTCGACTCACATCTTGCAAGAAGGACAATATAAACACGAATTTTGTCACGCAGCAAAAACCATGTAACCTGCACAGCTCACTCAATATGAGAGACCAACAGAAGCTTCTTTTTGAGAACATGCACGATAGATTATAAATCGATGAATCTTCCAAGTCGCACTAAGCACGTACCCCGATCTAACTCAGCCTTTAAAATATCACACAATCATCCACTGCTGAAGATTTTGGAGTTTCGAATCCTGCACACAGCATCACAAATAAGGGATATCAATAAAAGTTAATATGGACTTGAGGTAGACTATGTGAAGAAGTCGCGAACGCATAAAAGCAAAATATGCCTTTATTCGAATATTGTCTCGACTTTCGGACACTAACTGAGCCACTGCATGTGAGTCAGGCCCGATTGAGCAATGCAATAAGCCCAGTTTTCCAATAGAAAAGTAGCAACACCTTAAAAAAGCTTGCGCACAATTTTAAAAGCCCCATCGAAAGTCATCAATAATGTGATACAAAGTCAGTTGTCAAAGGTTGGATGGCTTTGGTACACTTAGTTAGAAACGAATGATAATCCGTTTCTCGTCTGCAGGGAATAAGACATGTACGAAAATAAGGACGAGTGCCGTCCGAAAATCATTTGCAAAAATATAATATCAAGAAGAAAAGCCTCAGGAATAAGAGAATGCTCCTTTTATAGGGAGGATCCTCTTATCCCGGGTTGCAGAAATGAGATTTTCCCGATCACAAACATAACATCCACGAACCACAAACAAACTTCCACTCATCCCTATGACAATTTTCTGTACTTCAACTTCTATTCCGGATGTTCGAAACATGACGTCGTGGCGATCAGGTTTGTTATTGGACATACACAATTCATGATGATTATGAAGCGCTTCAGTACTTCCATACTATCACGAAAAAGCTTGCTTCACTATCAGGATAATGCTCACGGGATGGCAACTGAAAATTTGGAAGCATACACTACTGTACTGAGATAATCCCGGGTTGACAAAGAAACACATACTAAAAATAGCAGCGTTTCCTCCCGAGGGCCTTCGTTTGTAAACAAGCGATTCCCTAACATCACAATTCCCCTACAACTCGCGAATGGACAACTCCCCAGCAAAGGTGACAACTGAAATAATTTCGTGATTTTATAGCCTACTTATTATTTTCATTAAATTGGAGAACAGCAGAATGTCTATAATTTTTCACTAGATTCTCTTTTGTCCGACAGTTTTTGTACTGTATTTTTGCATCCATTTTTAAAATTTATCAAATGGTGTTTGCGATTAATTCTTCTGCTCAAGAGATATGATACACTGCATGGCAATTTGTCACCACATTCAAAATTCATTTGTATATCCCCTATTATAAGTTCCTATTTGCATGCAAAATTCTTGATGAATATATGTAAGGACTTTCTCCGGTTCTTCTTCAAGAAATAAAGAATGTGCAAAATTTATTATTTCAAAAAACAAGTTCCTTCAAAAAAACATTTCTTGAATTTCAAGAATGTATAAACTAGATGGACGTGTATCCTTGGCGAGATATTTCAGAAAATAGTTCGAACATTTATTGTGCAGTGAGAAATTTGTAACTCAAGTGTTGATTTTCACTACATGGTACTTAGTACAGGTATCTCTGTCCTTTCATGCACTTCAGTCATCGTGAGCCTGTTTTTCTGAATTAGTTAGTTGAATAAAGACTTGAGTCTCTCGCAATGTTAGTCCTACATCCGTCAGTCTGTTAACTTTCTTGTGTTGTGTCTATATTTCCATCTCTGTGTGTGTGTGTGTGCTTGTGATTAATCAGGATTTCAGGTTCATGTGATGAGTTGCATGATGCTTAGACAGGAACCACCTCTCAGCAAGCAGAGCCTGGAGATTCCTGAATTGTTCACCACTCTGAGGTCCAACCTTTAAACTGATGTAGCCTAAACTAAAATTTCTTCTTTAATTTTCTTGATTCAGCCCTTACAATCAGTACACGCTTCAGTAATGCAACCCACTTTGAATTTTGATGTTTTTATTTGCATTATATTGAGAACATTTTGCTGAACCATGTAAACAGATTAAAAAAAAAATCGAATGAACTTCAGCATTCAATGCATAATTACAGTATTCACCTGTACATCAACAATTCAATAAGATCCCGAACTCACAAAAATATGTTCTACAGATTATCTTGCTGTGATGGACAAAAATGATGTTATACAGGATTAACAGGAAGCAAATCACTGATAACTTTTGCTGATACGTTTTAGAGGCTTGCACGTTCGCCCTTTCTTTTAAATGTAAGAAATGTTTTTGATGAAAAGTCTGTTTTTTGTTTGTTTTTTCTCGCTTTTTTTTTAATATAAGAATGGTAGAAAATTGCGTACTTATACATTTTATAGCTTCATATGACAGTTATTTGTCAAAAATTTCTAGATTAGGAACGAATACAGGACCTGTTCCGCAGAAAACCGAAAAATGCTGAAATAAGGGGAATTCTGAATTTCTTTTGAATTTCTACCCAAAAAAAATATTGCATGCATTTTCTGAATTCATTCAATCACAAAAACCTCAGATTTTTTTTTTAGAACTATGGTACTGCATTGCAAATGGGAAATTCTCAAGAGATGAAAATAACTTTGCATTGTTGTGAAAAATTATTATGCAAATCTCGTCACTGCATGGTAAAAAATCGCCATGCAGTTTATCATTTGCTGAGCAGAAGAATACATTGCCAGCAATGTTTAGCAGATTTTAAAAATAAAATACTATAAAATTGCTGTTGGAAAAAATAGAATCTGAGTAACAACAAATTTGAAATTTATCTGCTCTCAAATGAAGTAAAAATAATGAGAAAGTAGTAAAAATATCAAATCATCCCAGTGGTCGCCTCATGGGAATATTATTAGCACTATGCAAGTTGTTGTCCGCGTGTGCGATGAGTTGTACCATCATGCCCTTTGCGGCACCATATTGGGAGTCGTCTCATAACCCAAACAATCCCATCTCCGGTTCCAAATTCTGAAGAATTACAGATGCATCATACAATATTAAATTTCAAATTCTGGAAAGATCACGATGGATCCGCAGCATGAACCGTCTTTGGACTTGAAGTTCCAGGAGAATGTGTATATTGCATTGCTGTCTCTCAATTAATTTAAAAAGTAGGACGGGATTTTTAAAAATTCTGAACAAAAACTAAGCACAAGCCTTTCTCAGCACAAAAAGACGCCGTCGGAAAAATGAGATCTCACACTGCATATGGAAATGGAATGAGCGATTCAATCCCACAATTAAAAAATTTAGGACGGCTCAAGTTCTACAAAACTATTTTTTCCTGTTTTACAGATGAGGAAATGACGATCCAAGAACTCCTCAAAATGCAACAGAAATGTTGTTTACTTTATTTTACCAATCGCTTAAGCAGCTTCATAAGTACAATCCATGATTTCTTTGTCGAATGCATTTCGAAGAACAATTGAATCAAACGTACTAAAAATGGAATCGAATGTCGTCGAATATCCAATAGGATATATTGTCAGCAGGGGAGTATTATTAGCACTATGCACTGTTAAACATTTTACAGCGTTGTCAACTCCTCGACAGTATAATGCGGAACAAAGCTGTGGCCTAAAAAAACGGATAAATTTTCAACACAACTTTAGCTTTACGACATTAAGAAGGAACTTTTAAGCCTTTAAAGGCTATGCTTCAGAAATAGTAGTTTCGAAAGTTTTAAAAACTTTTCAATCTTTAGGCGAGTCTTGCGCGTGGGAGAAAAAGCGCTGGATTTCGAAAAAAACGTACGCATGGTACATTCAGTAAAGAATGTACAGTATTCTCATACATAGTAGAAATCCAACTGATTTTGGACTACAAATATACAAGTAGATCTTTCAGGACCATATTATACAGTAATAAGTTATTTAGCCATTCAAAAAAATTATCCGATAGCTCAAAATAAACGATTTCGGATATAATATTTGCTCTCAGTTTCGGATATTAAATCAATCGAATAACGAACGAATTTTTTAAATCTACGATTTTTTACTATGGCTACATGTATAGCAATTACATAATCAAAATTTTTGAAAATTCTGCAAAAATGATCCAGGGGCAATTAAAACGAAACCTGGATTGGAGTATTGGACATAAGTCATTTTATACCTTTTACACTGTTGAGTAAGGGCTTAAAAAGTAGCTCAATTGTTTCCGATATGCAGTATAACGCCTCGTGAAAAATTTACTAACGGATCAGATTTTTCTTCCAAGGTTTTGTTCACTTTCTCAGCAGAAAAGTTGAAAGTTTGGTAAACTGGAAAGTATAAGCCGCTTTTTCTAACTTTCAATAACGTTTTTTTAATTCATGGTTACTATTTTACCCCTTTGTAGCGATTTGAAATTTATTCTTTAAAGGCGTCAACAAAACCTTAACCAAAACAATAAGGAGACCCAAAAAATAATAAATGCTTCACCCAAGGAGTAAAAGTACTGTATTTCAACTCGCCCTTTGCCGTTGCCGGTGAAATCCCCTTTACCATCACTGTCGAATAAAGGTGGTGGGAACCGTAGCCCTAGATATGTCACAGGTTACGCAACCTCTACCATAAGCTCCTGACGTTTCCGAGAGGACTTCACCATCTACAGTATTTTCATTTCCGTCAAATACAGTAATGCATACCACAAATGGAAATAAATCATTCAATGCCACAAAATTTGGCCAAAAGCACGAGGATTATCATCAGTTTCTTCTGAAGTAAGTTGCGAACCAGATTTTCGATCGAGAGGTAAACACAATGACGGCTTTCTTATCTCTTCCTTCAGCAATAATCTTCACACCGTTTACAGACCAAAGAGAGGAATCCTCAGGAAGTTTCCATCGGATTCCCGAACCGCAACAGTGCATCACTGCTCATTCGTTTTTTCAGCTTATCCAGGAGCTGCTCAACTAATTCCGGAGTGGTCTGTAAAAGAAGCGGGCAAAACTGAGTTGAATGCGTTTTTTTATACTATCCGCGCGTTTTAATAGATGACACCAGATATTATACTTTTGAACAGAAAGCGCATTATAGAAACGACCAGCACAAACAATTGCTTTTCCGTACCACCAACACTTCACAAATATGGACGGAGTTTGCATAGCGCTTGAGTAATTATTATCAAACGCTTATCCATGTCATTCAGTTTCTGAATGCCTACAAGGATAAAGGCATTCAGACAAAATCCCAAGGTAGAAAAATCACCTCGTCCGATCACAATGAACACTGACTTATGATCGCGTTGCACAGCGAGATTCGTGCAAAAACATAATTCGGATAATTACGGCATTAAACTTTATTTCTACACAGGCAATGAAAAAATCAATACTGTAAATACTTTTTTGACTGGATATTTGAATGGTGATTTATTCGTTCTTTTTATCGTGGTTTTATACAATAATAATGGTATATAAAACGTTGACTGTGCAAGGATTCGTTTTAATTCAATGCAAGGCATGAGAACAAACTAAAATATTTTTAAAATACGTAAGTGGATTTGGAGAAACAGAGGCATTCAAAAAGGATTTCCCGCTGCTTGTGCATAATTCCAATAAAATACAGCACGGCATGTTAATGAAAAGCGTCATCGCATAAACTTAAAATTCAGGTAAGCATGGCTTTCGTTCGGCGTCATTTCTGTTCGATGCATTTTCTCCCGAGTCCAGATACGTATTCAAAACTCATCTGCATAACACCAATCAAAATTTCAAACCGGAAATTTTAAATTAACAATGATAAATTTTAAAAACACTTACCCGTTGAAGCAGCTGCAAGTTGCGCATTCGAGCAATGGCTATGTAAATTTCAAAGTTCGTGGCGAACGAGTTGATAACACGGTCCGGCGGGTGCAAATCCATTCGTTGACGTCCATGACCCCATCTCGCCGCATTTCGCACCGTATCTTCGTCCAGTGGAAACTGTCGAATGAAATTATTCGCTGTTCGGACAATCTGAGACATTCTCGTTCTAGACTCTTGATTATCGGAAACTCCAGCAGGCCACGTTAACGTTGGCCCTGAAGAACCCATAATATTTTGAAATGCTTCGAAAGGGTCGACAATCGTCGCCTCATAGTGATGTTTGTTTGGACGGTTATATCGAGGATCTTTAGGAGGTCCACCAAACCCGTTCGAAGCGTCTTGGCCCTTTTCAGAATGCTGATGTCCAGAAGTTTGCCTTTGATATTCATTCAGAGCTTTATCCTTCTTGTAGTTCCCAGAGTTGGCATAGTTCGTCGACCCAGAAGAAAAGCTCAGGAAAGACGGCGGCCCATTGTTGGATGAAGTTGAGCTGCCATAAGGAACATTCTCATTGCAACTCAAGAGTCTAAAGAAAACATCCAATGAGTCTTCAGTGATCGGAAGATCATTTTCTACCTTTCTAGTTGCGTTGAAGGTTCGAACAGTTTGTCTACCAAAATCAGCAAAATCAGAATACCTCTAAGAGCTGAGAAATGCATTCAAATCACGAGAGAATTTATTCAAAAATAAAAGCACACTAAAAAAGTGAGTTTTCAAACGAAAGTAACGTTTGTCTCCAACTGTGACCGAAAATCAAGACACCCCTCGTAAAATGAGCAATTCCTTCTGGCAAAACAACGAATGAATTACCAGAGCGCTGATAAGAATCAACGAATCCGTCCAGAGCATTCTGAATTGATCTTTGGCTGCGGAGTTCTTCGGAAAAACGACTGGAACGTTCTAGTTGAAGAGAGTATAAGGACGAACGTAAGCTACACTTCGCAAGCACGTCTAGTTGTAGTGCTAGGTCAACGCGCAGGTTGTTAGCGAGAGAAAAGCGTACGTTAGATAAAAGCGAAACTACTACATCAATTGATGAGGCCAATTGCACCAGTTGAGTAAAAGCGACTGTCAAAACAAAACAAAAATCCGAAGATTACAAACATTTTTGTTTTTAATTAACTCACACGCTGCACCAGCAACTTCAACAGCCATCATGCAGCTGCTTCCATCTGCAGAAGAGCCCGGAGTAGTCGACAAATTTCCAACAACTGCAGATTCGAACTGCGGACAACTTGACGTTGAGGTAACACTAGTTTGCATTTCCGTCATAGTGCTCGTGGATGCACTACTCATCGTTAGTTTCACCATTTTAAAGGTCTACTCTCTCTGGAAAGAGAAAAACCATCGCCGAATGGAACAAAAACTAAATTTTAATCGTTTAATAATGCGCAAACTTGGGCAAAACGAAATCCAAAACGTTTCAATGAAAAATGCACAGGTATGACAGAAGTCATCAACTGACTTATTGTTCATAGAAATAATGAGCAAACTAAGAAAATGTTAATTATATTCGTAGGACTATTATTTTCCTCTTGACGCGGTTTCCAATTTACTGCAGTTCGTAATACAGAACTCAGTCAAGATTTAGCACCATCATGATTGATTAAATTATTGTTCCGAGCTCAATTGTACATGTTGAACGCAAGTGAAGATATTTCTGGAACTCGGGGTACTGACTGAAAATGTCATCACGTATGGCACATTTGATAGCATTTTTTCAGTTTTTTTCAGTTGCTGATCTTGCACCTGACAAGATTGAAATTCAAAAAGGAGGGGACCATGCAATTCACATATACACAAGAAGTAGGAATAATCCTTTTGTTCAAACCGATCTCAGTACAGACAACTCCCATTTCTCCAGCACGAAGCCTGCGTATCCGAAAGCTATCGACAATCGCTTTGCTATTGCCAATTTTTCAATATACATTTGAAGATCCTGTTCATTGTTACGGCAATACGTTTTTAAACAATATGTAACAGGATCAACAGAAACTTCAAAAAAACCTAGAAAAGTGAACACCACACTGATTAATCAAATCTTGGGCAATGTTGATTTTCGATGGCTTATGACAGCTGATGAGCATTAATCGCAGTTTCAGTCGCCACCTCGGTCAAGAAATAGCATAGAGTGACCAATAATTATATTCTGATGCAGGATGTGACACGCAAACTTAAAGAAGAATAGGGTCAGTTTCAGGAAACCCAGGTGTTTTTTATGGTCTGCTGGTTAGCTCCCTTAGCACTTATGTAGTGCTGTAGCAGGTCGGTCTGCTACGACACTACTACAAGTTGTTCCTTTTTCTTCCGAGAGATACATGAATAATCTCAGCATAAAGTTTTGAACGCCTGGGAAGTGTAAGAAAAATTGTCGAGACCATACTCAGACTAATTCATACTTCTTTTCCGTCCCTTTTTACCCCAACAGACCCAATAGCGACGAAAGCAAGTTTCCTGAAAATCTCACTAATTTCCTTCCATTTTCCAGGTTTCATCCAAGAGTACAAAGAGGAAATATCTTCTGGTCCTTTCCCATAGTTGAAAGATCTGTGCTTCTCTGGATAATGCCTCGATCTTTCTCTTAACGGAATCTTTAACAAACCCATTTGTAGTACTTATCTCCAACATTCCGAGTAATAATTTTAAGGCCATAGCAACCACTATGCAGAAGATATCAATCCAAAATACAATTACTTTTTATCGACTTCGCATAAATGGTGTAAAGCTAAATTTAGATTTGAATGAAAGTTATACCGTACGTAAACTTCTCATCAAAAAAATATACACTGATTGAATTCAAAATGAAACCTTACATCAACGTGAACTTGCGTTTGCCGTGGGCAATGACCAGGCGAGCAAAGGCTTCCAAAATCCGAATACCTAGGTTTTTAGTTTTTTTCCCTTTTTCAACGACGTGAAGCCAATACCGTATGCTTATCAACAATATACAACAGGACTAATGGTAAAAGCAACCAGCTAAAACAGAAGAAAATCATACTGATGATCAACTCCCCAATAAACCAAACCAAGTCAGTAAAGACTGACATTAGCCAGAAGATATTCGGTAGAGCGATGATGACAAGTAACACAATGACCCAAGTCAACTTCTGGTTGCTTTGCGATGTGGTCAACGCAACACCCGCGATGTCCGTCCGCGTTTGATTTAGTAATCCCACTGCGCGAACAGCACTTCGTTCCATGAACTGACGATGTTGCGAAGCAGCCGCTTCCGCCCGACGACGAAAGGCCTCATCTTCTGTCCTTTCCACAGCACGTCTGCGTTCACTTTCTTCCCAGAGTTCAGAAACATGACTGCCCAGTTGGACAATTCTGTCTTGAACGACGTATAAGCCTCCAACCACGGCTACGAGCGTTTTCTCGACGTTACTCCGATGGGCTTGCACAACTTGCTGTTCCAATTGCTGACTTCGCATTGCTCTTTTATGAACTCTTCGAAGCTGATCATCGCGCTCATCCGCTAATCGAGTGCGTTTCTTCCATCGCTCTTCGTCTCTCTCTTGAGCACTTTCTTGATTTTTGATGGCCTTTGATTGCTGATATGCGTTATAAATCGCAGATGCCGCCGTCACTACGGCTGCAGCTGAAGAACAAGCGCAGGACAAAAGGAGGTTATGACGAATATTCATCCAGTGAATGGTCATACACGCGCTACTCGACCTAAGTTGAGCACATCAGACTGAGTTATGCACATATTAGGTAATGTATACGCCGATTATAAAATGTTCGTCCGAGTAAGGCGTGATGGTGCACGGGAAAGGAAAATATTTTGGCATCATCCTTAAAAATTAAAGTGAATTCGGAGTAATCCGAAACAAGTTCATAAGATCGCCTTCATAATTTACCGATATACTAACGGATTTACGGGTCTACTAGAACGTGAAGCACCCTTCCCAACAAATTCAAATCACTCACCACCGATGATAATCGGAAGAACCATCCCCTCCGTTGGCTGAGTCGCGTAACAAAAATATCGAATCCTGACAATGAATTACACAATGGTTTCGTGCCGCGGAGATACTGCTTCACTGATTCGGATAACGAAACATACTATCGTTTCGTCGTGACACTGAGCAAAAATCCGGAGAGCGAGGCCAAAATCATAAATCAAAGAAAATACTGCAATGTTTCCACAGAGACTTTGCGTAAGATCAGAATGGTCAACATTGAGCAACTGACACGAGAGGCAGGGCAAACGGAAGATTAGTATTTAAAAAGTCTACGAAAAACCCCGTTTTGAATATCACACAAGAGAAATCTCGAATGCAGGGAATCACTCCACGAATTCCAAGTAGGCAATCTCACGGATATCTTTCATTGGATATATACTCTTCTGAATACGTTGACATTCTCGACCAGCTTTGCGTCATCCGAACGCGAAGCACACGCTTTCTCACAAGAGAATCTGACAAAAACCCAAGTACTGTACTTCGCGCCGATGGATTCATTGCCTAGGTCTCATTTCAAAGATACTCATTTCAATGTCATGGAGAATGAAACCATAATGACGCTCATCGCGCATCCAAACCGAGTCAAGGCAGAAGTCAGAACTCAATAATCCACTCGGATAGGGACGGAGGAGACGAATTCGACTCGCACCATGCTTGAAAGATAGAACGCATTCTTTCGCGCGAAGACCATGAAACCACAGTTCCTTCAAGATCAGGGATCAGCTTGGTTTAAAACATACACGATAGGCTATCGATGAAGCTTCCAAGCCACATCCAACTCAACCTGAAAACCTTACAAAATCATTTACTGGAGACTGCGCAGTTTCATGTTATGCACCCAATAGTTGATTTAAATTCGAGTTAATATAGACTTGAACTGCCAGACTACGTGAAGAAGTCGCAAACACATAAAGGAAAATATGCCTTTATTCCATTATTACGTCGAATTTCGGACACAGAACCAGTGAATCAGGCCCGATTGAGCAACGCAAAAAAATCCCAGTTTTCCGAAAGAATAGGCACAAAACAAGCCACAGGGTACAAAATTTCAAAAGCATTCACGGAAGTCAGCGATGTGAGAAAAAGTCAGCTGTCAAAGGTTCGATGGTTTCGGTACACTTCGGTCAAACGAACGCTGATCTGTTTCTGTGCAGCGAAGACACGAAAATAAGGATGAGTTTCGTTCGAAACTTATTTGCAAAAATACAGTATCAAAAAGAAAAGTGTTAGGAATGAAATTGTCATCCCTATCGCAGATTCTGAGATTTACCCAAACGCCACTGAACAAACAACTACACGTTATGAACATCTTCTACTTTTACCGCTATTCCGGCTGTTTTCAACACGGCCTCATGGCGATCAGATTCGTTCCGCATATACGTCAGGATGACACAACTTCCGGTATCACGAAAAAGCAAGCCCGATCATGCTCAAGCGATCGGCAACCGAAAATTTGGCAACATAATACTATGAGTATTGAGATAATTCCGGGTAAAAAAAAACTGCATATTAAAAATAGCAGCGTTTCGTCCAGAAGGCTTTTGTAAACCACAAACAAGCCCATCTTAGGATTTAGATTCTGGGACGATCACGATGCAGCATGCATCGTCTTTGGAATATAAGTTCCAGGAGAATGCAATGACACATTGCTGCCTCCCAATTAAAAATTTGATAAACTATGGAGGGATTAAAAAAAACTGAACAGAAACGAAGCATCAGCTTTGCTTCAAAAAAAAAAAAACGTCGTCGGACAAAATTCAATAAGAGATCTCATGGAATGAGCGATTCCATCACAATGTAAAAACGTAGGACGGCTCAAGTTCTACAAAACTCGCCAATTTTTTGCTCCATTTTTTACAACAGGATATGACGACAGAAAAAACTCATCTCAAAATGCAAAAACTTGAAAATTTGTTTTGCGTTACATTACCGAGACGTCAAGCAGCTTCAAACGTACAATCCATCGTCCGGAAAATGGGGCACATCACTGCGCCCGACCGGTTGAGGACGAGGTCCAGCCATTGTGGCGTAAATGGGGCATCCGTTTGCAGAAGACGGCGAATCAGGTCCCGTGCGCACGGAGTTTTCAGAAGATCCGCCACTTGAATGACCGCTGCCACTGCTTCGCATGGCGATGGATTTTGATTCAGAGTATGAAATAGGTACAGCAGGCATTACAGAAAAAAGCCGACGATTCACCGCACGTCCTTCAACTAAATTCATAAAGTGAACATTCAATTAGTAACGTAAATCAAGAGCGCGTGCCATGGAATCACTTCCAAATGTCGCAAGTGCATCAATAATATTGATCCACGTAATTCCCACAGCCTAAAACTTCTAATCAGAATTGCCTTCGCATTTTAGGAAATATTTCTTGAAGGAAATAAATTCGACGTTCAGCTGTGTTTCCTCAAGTTCGCTGGGCAGATTTCACAGTTAACTATTTTATACTTCTCAACATCGTCCTCTTTGCAAATAAGACACTGCAATGTTTTCATTTTAAAATCTTACTTCTATTGCGAAGTACTGTAGAACGAAATCGTAATCGGGATGGCAGGTGACCTCGAATTCGGTTTTTCCTTATCATACAAAAGCCACAGTGAACTCGTCTTTAGTTTTACGTTATCAATGCAAAAAATTAATGGACCATCTCTAGCTGCGACTACGGCGATTTTCAACTTATTCAATTCAGATCATACTCTATTCTCCTCGAAAGAACTGTGACGGGAGAGATCATAGCATCATACCATTTCAAAAATTCATTTGAAAATTGTAATGCACCCTGTATCACAACTTGACATAATCTGTTAGAATTTATTTCGTACTGAGAACAATTGAATCAAAACTGGTAGAATATACAGTATTGCATACATGTACCGTCCGTCAACTTTGTCAATTCCTTGCTCAAACGTTTCCGATATGCTGCAAAACGCCTCGACTAAAGTTTACAAAAGGAATATATTCTTCTTCAGAGTTTCGTTCATTTTCTCAGCAGAAAAATCGCCAGTTTGGTAAACTGATTAGTAAAAGCAGCCTTTCCTACTTTTTAATAACATTTTCACTAATTCGAACGCTACGCCATGGTCGCGATATGAATTTTCGTCGGAAAAGACGTGATGGAAAGTAACGGAATACACAGATCAGCAAAAGTACAACCGAAACAATGTAAGGAGGCCGACAAACGGCTTATTGCTTCAAACGGGATCCCAACGGGTAAAAATACAGTACAGTGCTTCTACTCGCCTTTGCAGCTCCCGGTGGAATCCACTTCATTATCATCACTGTCGAATAGAGGAGGTGGAATCTCGTGTATCCTATGGCATGATTCTTTATGCACATATCCCCGCGATGGCACGAAACGACGGGAATGATGCTGACTACCCTCTGCCATCGTGTTCGCACATGGAGAAGTACCAACAGGCAACACACCGCCGTCGCCTTCAAGCTTCATTTCTCTCCGCCCTTTCGATCGTCTGTACACTGGCGGCGAAAACTTGGTCTCCGCGTGGATATCAGGACGAACCTTAAATAATTCACAATATACAGTAATCAGAAGTCGAAACTCCATCAAATGTAAGAGCGAAAATATGTAACTACAAAAACTATGAGAGAATATTATTCATGGGAATATCATGAAACGGGAATGAGTGGTCTCTATCACATCCCTAAATTAAAACTAACGGAAATCAACTTGAAACCTATAAAATTACATCAAGTCATATTGAAAAAAGGAAGTCACGCTCAGAACACACTGCTCTCAGCGCAACGCAGCCAAAAAAATCCTGCATTCCGAGCGATCCGTCGAATAACTAAAATGAATCGAACATCACTGCACATGGATTCCTCGGAGTCTAGTACAATACTGTTATTACAGATATTGCTCTACATACAGTAGTTCCAAAATTAAAGTTCTGCTACCTACGTGGAAAGCACGACCGCTTTCTCGTGTCTTCAACTTATTTGACGAGGATTTAACAATAAAAGGAGAGTGGAACGAATGAAAAATCGAATTCACGACCAACCTGGCTTCCTGAAGATGTTGGAACTATGTCAGGAGGAGGAGGATGTGGAGGTACACGGTTCCGTGCCCAAGCTTTCATATCCCGCGGAAGGGGAGTTGGAATCCGGTTCAAATGACAGAACGCGTTCTGATCGTCGTTCGCGTTGGGAAGCCCTACCACTGCCATTGGGGCAGGATCTGTTGAAGCGAATTTTACCACAGAGCCATCGATTCTTTCTTTTGAACGATTCCCTGCCCGTGAGCGCCTCCGTCTTAAAGTAGCTGCTTGCTCAGGAGGTTCGATGCCGTTGTCTTGAGCCGGAGAAATTTGCGGAAGGAGTACACAGGTTAGCACCTTTTGTCCAGTTTCTTCATCATTTGCTGAGACCAATGGAACTAACGGCTTTCTTTGGTTTGATGACAGCCACAACGCCTGACGATGATAATGAACATTATCAAACTTGAGATTCCTTCGATGTACAGTACTTGACGAAGGAAATTTTACGAACGTGAAAAAAATTTATATCTAAGAGACGCGATACCTGAAGTTCACGGAGTTGAGATAGGGCACAGGGTAAAAACTTGATCTTATTTTCAGTCAACGTAAGAATGCGCAGACGATGCAGATGACCAAGTTCGGCAGGAACATATCCTATTTGGTTTCCTCTTACGGACAGAACACGTAAATTCATGCAACTTCCCAACTCTGGAAAACAAAAAAGCATCATCCCGTGATCGAGGGTAATTTCAACAGATGCTCTTACCGAATGGGAGATCTTGAAGCTGATTGTCATCAAGAAAAAGAGTATGAAGTTTACGAAGCAATCCCACAGACGAAGGCAAAGAGGTCAGCTTGTTGTGCGCTAAATGTAATTCTTCGATTCCGGATGCTCCTCCGACACTACTCGAAATACTTCGAAGAAGATTTTCATCCAACTTCAAGGACTTGAGATTCTTCATTGGACCGAAGATTTCCGGGAGACTTTCTAAGTCGTTCCTCGATAATGTGAGGGTTTCCAAGGCAGAACACTGACTCAGCTCCCAACAAAGCTCCTCGAGATTATTTTCGCTCACATCGAACAGTTGCAAGTGAGAACAATTCCCTATCACCTGAAACACAAGAAAAAAGGGCTTTAGGACGAACTGCCAAAAAACTGAACTTCGATTGACATACAGATGGAATTTTTCTGAGGCGGTTAGAATCACACCACAGCTCTCGTATGTTCTTCATTTCCCCAATCACGTCAGGCTGTAAATATTTCAAGGTTAAACGTATCTCTGATAGGTCGGTATTACATATATTTACGGCTCACTCACAAACTCAGTGAAGTCATTCTGTCCCAAATCTAATCGAAATAAGACTGGAAGACGACCAAGACTCTTGGGAAGTACAGCGAGGTGATTGTCGCGAACTTCTAAAACACGAAGTCGACTCATGCGACCCACTTCACAGGGCAGGTATTCTAATAATGTATCGTTCAGATACAATTCTTCAAGACTAGCAATCTGTGTAACGCTGTCCGGCAAAGAGCACAGCGGATTGAGGGAAGCATTAAGAACTCGTAGTTGTTTGCATCCCTTGATGTTCTCGGGCAACTCCGCTAGGCAGTTTTTTGAAACATCCAATGTCTCTAAAGCCAGCAGTGAGGCTATCGCAGGCGGTATCGACTGCAGATCGTTGTCACTGAGATTCAAGTAACGCAAGCCTTGACAGTGAAACAGGGGCCTCGGCAAGTCTTCGAGCTGCAAGAAACAATTTAATATTCCTTTGTTGATGAAATACGCAATGTTCTCAAGCAAAGAGAATAAAGTCACAATTCATAGCACTTGGTATCTTATAATTTAAAGAGTTTAACTGTAATGATTATACTGAAAGAAAATATTTTAAATAGAGTGAACATACCAAATTGCTACTCAAGTAAAGTCTTTCAAGCGTTCTCTCATGCAGGAAAACTTCATCAGGAACCGAAGCAAGTTTGCAGTTCTCATAATCCAGTTCCGATTGAGCATCTGAGTCATCCCGTGACAGACAGAAGCTGAAAATCCACGTGAATCGAGGCATCGAAGATCAGCCCGTAGCTACATCACGATACTAGTTGTGCTGTGAAGGCGCGCTGAAGATGTTTTTTTGAGTAGTGAGCGTCATAGCGTTGATACTACGTAGACACTTCTTTATCGTGAACAGTGACTAAACTGGTTACTAGTAGGCTTTTTTTTAGAGCTCCAGCTCCGACAATGAACAACATCGATGAACTACAACTTTTGTAGGCGATTTTTCACGCGTAAGCTGTATTCTAGTGGAATTTGCACGAACTGACCCGGTGTGAATCGAATAGAATATTTCAGATTCCGAACTTCGCATCACAGTAATATTCCCCGAATCCGCCCGAGACATACTTCGTGAAGATTATCTTAATATTCGCTTCTTCTGAAACTTCCCAACACATTTCACTATACACCAACAAGACGCACATACAGTATATATATTATAGCATACGATACGAAGCTGATATTGATGCTTCGTAATTGAAACTGATAAGAGGCACAGAAGTTGGCACCAATTGATCGTGACTTCAGACGAGCATTTCCGCATCTTCACCCGGCTAATTTCAGCACACGTATCCAATGTCGCAGTTCACAGGCTGGTCAATGAAAAGAATTCAAGCTGAACCTACGATGCCTGCACACTCCATAATAGTTTTCAACTCACCGCCGCTGACTTCCACGCCCCTCTGTTCACTTCCAATCCCTTACTCAGGGGCATTAATGAGTGACTTCATGAAAAGCACATGTTGTTGAGTAGGAATTTTAAGCTACAATTAGTGTAAAAAGGCAATACAGTATACTGCTTAGAATAACTAAACCAAAAGTTTGCTGTTCATTAGAGATTTTTCATACAATGCACCAACTTTGTCTGCCCGAAAGCCCAAAGGACAGCGAAGTCTTCCCAGAATCGAAATACTGTACTGTACCTCTAAATCTTCGCATTTAAAGTCGCTAATGGCTCTGAGAGACAAAGGCGCTCGAAAGCGTGGCGAGCAGGAGAAAGCCCTGGATTAAGTGGCTCGTAGTGGAACGTTGTGCTGGAAGGGCGTCAAGAAATCCGCAGAATAGCACAGTACGTACCTATATTTTATACTGGACCATTCTCAGACTACATGGCCTGAACGCAGACTGAACCACGCATTTTAAAGTTTTCCGATTTTTTTAAACATCAGTTAATGGTTAATTAGATTTAAAAATTTAGTAGTTTTCCGCAATAGAGCTTTCAAAATAGTTGAATATTCAATTAACAGTACATTTTGGTTAATTTAAGGTGAATATTTCGGTACAATTGCTGTTCTGTATTTGAATAATAAGATATACAGTATTTTCCAAACTCAGTAAATCTGAACTCATGTGAATTCCACTTTAGTTATTTTGAAATATTAATTTATTCTCTATCTCTTTCTAAAATCGAAAGCTCATGCATTTAAAAATATTACTTGGAATATTAATTACCCTGTTATTCACGGTCCATCATGTCTCCCCGTTTATAAATTTCAACCTCAGTGGAAGAGGCACATTATCTTGAAATCCGGCAGTTTCAGATTGTTCTGCGTTAAAGGTACTGTTCAACCTCAGCTCATTTTTTTTTCATCAATCCTTTCGAGTAAATACTAATCGAGATAACAGCTAGCCGGTTCATGGGAAGGAGCTTGTCCCTTCTGCGGTTCAGAAAATTACAGCTGTTGTGAACTCCCTCCCCGCCATTATCTGGCGGCGTTTTATAAATGCAAGACGTATTGTCGTTTGTGAAATCATTTACTTGTTCGGTTTGACATGGGGCAGTTCGCAAGAGAAATGTCATATGAATGCGTGTGGGATGTTGAAGTGCGCCGCACAGGTTTCAAAAGTTTCAAAATTTAATATCACCCATTTCACGCTGGCCACTGTCAGGAAAATTATTGCTTCGTTTGTGAAAGCTTGTTTTAAAAAACACAATCGTTGCCTCTATTGCTTGATTTTACTGGGCTCTGAGTGTTCTAGCGCATATCGAGGAAATTTTCTGTGGGATTTCCGTACGGTATTTTGGAATTTTATTGTGTGGAAATTATCCTTCCTTTCCGTAATATACGTGTTCCGAGCAAAAGACTGACACTGATCATCGTTGAACATTACCTCAATCTCAATTTTGTCGATTCTCACGGATATTTCTTGTCTTGAGTGGATTGCATACAATTTGAAATTGTATAGAGGTATCTTTTCGCGATTAGTTGTTCATCACGTGACTCCGTCCGTTGTGATTTTATTCTGACAGTATTGGTTGGGAAACAATTGTCGCTATTGAAACTCCTAAATGAGAAAACTTCTTGTTCATCTCAATGTCAGGGATTCTCCGTTGAAGCTGCGCGAGGAAAGCTTCAGCAGGTGCTCGACCTATGTAGCCAGTGCAGGATTTATGGGTTGGTGTCTCAAATGCCGACGGTATGAGCAATTGTAGGAGCAACCTGACGGATTTCGGACATGCTCTCGTTGGATCTTCGAGTATATCGGATGTCTCCTCGAAAGCCTGCAAGAAACAAAGGAGTAAGCTAGTCCTAATGGTCATATGGTGCATTCCGTAATTCTTTGGGTTTTATTTTTTCAGGACCTTCGTCTCCAGTTGCGAAAAACAAAGCACAGTTCTTACGGCAGAGATATTTACAATCGTCCGATGGTAATCCAGATGAATCTTCATCGAAATCGGCTGCTGTCGCGAAAAAAGATTCGAAAACGAAGGTGCTTAGTACTTCCCAACAGCAGTTCGAGAATGCATCCGTTGCTGAAGCCATTGCCAAACGCAAACATGTTGTAAACTATTGGCGGAATGCGTCAGGTCGAACGACGCGACGGCGTGTGCAAATCGGACCGTGGAAGCGAGAAGATCTTTCAAAACTATGTGAACAGAAATGGGAAGCTATCAGCGAACAATGCGCTGTGCAGTTTTCTGTTCGAAGTGATGTTACCACTGAAGGGATCATTGAACTGCTCTCCATTTCAAACCAAGAAGGAACTACCGATGATACTTCAGCTACGCATACCGCTGCAAACGACATCCAAAGCCAACACGCATCCATTCCATCCCCTGTGTCTTCAGGCCTTTCATTAAAATTGAAGAAAATAGGTTCTGGGTGGAAACCTATTGCAGAGGAAGAACTCGGTGAACCTGAAAGCACTGAAATCCTTTCAGAAACGGTTCATCATCGTGTCGCCAAGAAAAAGAAACATCATCATCACCATCACGTGAACGTGGAAACTGACGGGGTAACCCATGAAGAACGTAAACTGATGAAGAAGCGCAGGAAACTCTTGAAGCAGCTGAGGAAATCATTAAAGCAGCAGGAAAAACTGGAAAGAGCTGTTGAGCAAAGTGTGTTCTTGTGGCATTTTGTTTTCTTTCGTCATCAGCTAAAATTTCATTGTTTTCTTGTGTGTTCTAGGTAAAGAAAGAGCTATGAAGAAACCTCAGGAAGTAGCAGCAAGTGATTCAGTTAAATGTACATCTCAGCGTGTCGAGCAGTGTACGGAGGATTCACCTGCAGTGAATTCAGAAGCTCCGAGTATTGTTGTTCCAAAAACTGCGAAGAACGCTGCTAAACCGATTGCAGTTGTTGCTGGACAGCCGCAGGCTAAACAGAAACCTGTGGAATCAGTGGAAAAGATGCCGGAGAAAAAGTTCGATGAGAAATCGGTTGATGCCAAAAATCCTTCTGCAAGCACGGACTCTGCTTTGCTGAAGCATTTGCTAGATGTCAATTCTTCAGAGATATTGAAGCGTGCTGACGGTGATGCTTCTATAGAACTTGGAAAGGATCCTGTTCCGGATTCGATCATCAAAAAGTTGCTGGATGAGACATCTAGAGATACCTCAGCGCTTCTGGAAAAGAAAAGTCAGAATATCCTAGAAAAATTCTTGAATAGAAAAACGAAGCCAAATCCTGAAGCGCAGCCGGATGCGCCTTTGAATCTCACGAAACTTGGAAAAAAAGAAACCAGTTCGGGTAGCATTAATATTGCGGATTTGCCTCCAGCTCCAGCAGCAGAAGTTCAATACTTACGCCAAGTATTGAAGAATCAGCTCTACGATATTCCTTCATCCCTGGTGATTCCACGTGACCAACTTATCCATTTCTACACATATCCCATCAGGAGCTTCTGTAGTTTGTTGGCCAAGCAAGCTGTGTTGTTCAACTTAGTGAGTGGAGAACCTGATGCCATTCTCGATGGCCGAGTGATTGTTTTTGCGACGAAGCAGCTTCCTGACATTCTAGAGCATCCCAAGAATTATTTACCAGTGATCCTTGGCTCTCCATTGTCCTCTGATGCCAAAGACAATGCTGACCCTAGTTTATTAAAAACGTTGTTGGAAAAGGAGTCCGATGCCTGTTGTGATAGCCCTATGTTGCAAAGTAGAAAGCCCTTACCGTGCCTAGTCAAGTTGCCAAAGCAGAGTGCAGAAGAATGTGATACAGTGAGTTCCGCGGTGCCCAAAATCCGCGTTCGAGATGTTGAATCCCTTCAGCGCATTGGACTCGATGAACTACATGCCATGGGTGCCACTGTACCCACTCCTCCGACAGGAAGAATGCTTTTGGATCTGCTTGGGAAAGAACACAGGAATCCAACCTGTTTGAGCCAAACAGATGCTGGCATTTGGTTTCCTCGCGTAGCATCCTCCATGGTGCACTTCGAAAACGTTCCGCGGAGTCGTGAAGACCCGAAAAGCGCTTTGGAAGCTTGGGTTTGTCATCAGGGCCTCAAACCGCTTCAGGATTTTGCCTGTAGTAGCAACAGCAGCGGAGCTGACACCAGTTTGAATCAGCTGTTGAGTGCTCCACCATTGTTTCATTCGTCCCAGCTAAATGATGCGATGTCTCTGCCGGGATTTGTTTCATGGCCAACATCGTTCAATCCTCTCCCAATCGATTATGGTGCAGTCTCATCGAATCTTCACTCAGCGTTCCCGTGAGTAAATTTTTCTTCATCGAAGATATTTTTTCTCGACAACTTTCGTGCAGTGTTATTGAGCTTGAACTCAACTCATCTTCGATTTGGGAGATTTTTCGTATGGTTGAAGCAAAAGCCTGTGACTTATTAGGTGTAAAAGGATTTTTTGATTTTACGAAGGGACTTCTGAGATGATTCTCATGCGTTTTATTCAATCACGCGGTCCATTAATGTTTCCCACCGACTTTTTTGTTTGGCTCAAGTGCTTTCATTCTCGTTTCATTCAGTTAGGGTTAGACAATGTGCAGCACCGTTTTTTGGCGGAGCGTTTCCTCTTTTGAAATATCTTCGTCCTCTTTTTTTTTTTTATGCCGTTCTGAAATGCACTGAGGCTTGTAAAGGTATTACATTCGTTCAGAGCCTCTTCGATTTGTAACATGGAGAGTTAAATTAGACGTAAGATTGCGTAGAAGTCGTGGGAGATGGGGAACATTACAGTACTGAACTGCATATTGGCTGAAAGCCGAGGTTAATCCACCAACATTGTACTGTGCACGTGCACGTTGACGGTCAGTGACTCGCCTGACCAAATTACACTCGAGGGGAGCCTGGATATCGGGGTAAGATAATTTCTCAACGTTACACAAGTTTTAACGATCGTCCGTCTAAAACTGAAAATTTCGGACAAATGTCTTGCCAGTTTTTGTTGGACCGCATGAGAAAAGCGACTGGAAATTAATCCCGCATTCATTATGGATTTCGAAACTTCTCTCCGTCGCGTTTAAAAGCGTTTCTTTTCCTTTGGATACAGTATCTATATTGGATATCGAGTCTCAATTTTCATGCAAGTACGATTTTTTTTTTTTAATTTTTTTCCGCTTTTTTTCGAATCTTTTTAGCGGAAGGGTGACGAGAAACTACGTACAATATTCTCTCATATCATATGCCTTGTTTTTTATCTCTGATGATGGATTCGAAAACTCGAGTGTACCCTATGCTGGAGGTACCCGAGACCAAAATCTGGAATTTGTTCTATGTACTTACTGTGATACAAAAACGAAGAAAAGAGGAAGGAAATAAGGTCTTGGTGCTTCAAGGCCGCGTTTTACGCGGAAAGTTCTATTTGTGGCTTTCAATTGCGCGCTGTCTGTGATTGCGTCTACATTGCAAGTGTTTTCTTGTTATCCGAATGAAATTACCAAGTTTGAGTCTGTTTTCTGGGAAACCTGGATTCTTTCATTGAGAAGTGCAGGACATGAGTTTTATGCACCGCGAAGACCCCCTAGTACTTGAGAAGCATCTCAAGAGACGGTCAGCAAGATTTTAAGCTTATGCTCTGCTTATGGGTGCTTGAATGGCTTTTGTGTGTACGGTTTTGAGTGCTGTAGGACTTTTCTTGGCCTGCTACTTTCTCTGGTATCGTATCTTCCCGGCACTCAACCCGAGTAGATCATGTATCCATTTTGGCTTTTGTTTCTGGAGTATTCCCGTAATTGAGTGCCTTTTGTGTTTTTTTTTTCTTTTCCGTTTTTTGATAGAGACGATCGTATTAAAAAATCGGAAGAAGACCGACCTTATTCCGTGCATGCGCTCGACTCGTTCGCCTGGACCCTTCCGCAGGTGTTGGACTCATTGCAGGCACGTGGGAATACGTACCACGGCAGCTAAACCCTTTACTTCTCGCACAAGCAGCATGAAATCCTACGTTTAGGTTGGATGCTGTTTGCTGAAGTCGTCACGTCGTTTGGATTTTGCATCTTCCTTTTTTTGTTATGAGTTCGTGTGTCGAACTATTTATTTTTTTATTTCTCTTTGGAGTATAACATTAGCATTAGACATATGCGGAGTGTTATTGGTGTTCGTTCGCGGTTTGATTTTGCGGATGAGAATGCCCCTGTGTAAAGTTTCTGTGGACATGAGTGCTTCGTGCATAATGCGCATAAGGATTCGATTTTGGATATGTTATTTTTTTAATGTTTGCTTGGAATTGAATTAAAGACGACGGACGTGGTGTTGCATGATGAATCCTTTCCCTAGTTACTTCCTGCGAACATTGGTTCGTTTTTCTCCGACGCGAGAATCCATGGCAACTTTCTTTCCGTAATTCTGGTGAACGAATTGGTTTTGCGTTCCTGTAACTTACACAGCCGCTTCATGGGTTATCAAAAACAACTCAAGTACTGTAGTTCCTTATTTTGTCGCGGACCTTATGAACCTGGAGAATGTAAGTGACTGAGTACGCCGATCGGTGGCATCGGTTAACAAAACTCAAACACGGGAATTTTTTTATTGCTTTGGGTCTGATATACTTTTTTTTCAGATGATGTAGTAGTAGTAGTAAGCTGGTATATTTCTGAAATCCCGTTGCGGTAATTAAGAGCGCGGAATTATTAAATTGAAACATGATGAGATTATTATATCTATGATTCATTTACAGGAACACTGTATAAGGTTATGGACCTTTTATTGAAATCTCCGGATCTACACAACTCTGTGATCAGATTTTTTTTTTTCAATGGTGCGAAATGAGTTTTTGCTGTTGAAAATTTGCGGTTTAGGAGATTGAATCCAGAGGTGTTGTGTTGAAGCTTTTTTTTGGAATAGGTCGTTTCAACTGGCTTGTTGGATCTGTCCCTTCCTTCATGATCGACGGGATTGTGACGTTGTTTCAATGGAAGTGCGAGGTTGAAATAGAGTTAGCTCTTCAAATCATGGAAACTAGTACTCGTTCTTTCAACCTATTTATCGATAGACGCTGATGAGGTCGTTCAAAAATTTTCCTGGCACTTACATGAATATGATTATGATGAGAATGCCGATGTGAAATGAGCTTCTCGAACCTCGATGAAAAGTCTGAAAGGATCAGGGAAAAGCTCCGAGAATGTGGCTGTAAAGAGAATTCATTAAGTCCATCTCTGAAAAATTTTCTTCCACTATGCCTTGTCTCATCTTTATTTAAATTTACGCGTGAGTTGATTCAGTTGGCCTAAACATGATTTAGCAGCATTTTTACGAACTAAAATGCCGCAAATGTTGCTCCAAATGCGAGCATGGAAAATTATGCAAGTTTTGGACAAGCGCTGAATATTTCATTTTTACTAAGCTGGATTTTGTCGATTCCTTTTTTATGCCGAAATCATTCGTATGTTTTATTCTGTGTTAACTCTGAAAATTGCATCCTTCGGACTGTGTTGGCGATGAACAATGTGATAGCACGGAAACTTCGGAAGTAGGAAGCGTTTTATGCATCAAAACTCAGTAAATTTTCAAAAAGAGAACTCTCCAACTGAGGGTGATCGTGCCTCGCGTGGCACAAGCAACTGCGACAAGTTTTGGAAGTTTTAACTTTTTTTGTAAATTGTAAAAAGTATCAAAGGGCAAACCACAAACCGATGGAAACGCCGTCGGAAACCGACGTTTTCACTTTATAGTTAGTCGGATCGCAAGGGCAACTTTCGGTCGAAAAAATGCATGCACATTTGAATCGAGTGAAAGTACTGTACGAATGATTTTCTGTAGTTCTGCGCGAGAATTGAGGTTTGCGTCTTGAGTATGACTATAGTATTGCGGCTTGTGCCCCGGAGTGAAAATTCATCGGGTGGATTTGCGACCATCAGTGTGGAGTCTTCTTCGACATTCCGTTACACGAAAGATGTGCGCGTGGGCTCTCCAGCCGCAAAATAGTTCATTTTACTTTAGCGATGGGTGGAAAGCATTTTAGTTCGGCTGGTTGAGCAACTAAACCTTAACATGGCTGGTGGTCTGTTCATTTCCTCTCTCTCTCTCGGCTCGCGTTCGGTGTGTGTTCTCGATCGGATCTGGAGCAGGCTAGAATTGCTTTACACTTTTACAGGTCACTCGTTCCCACGATTTATCCCCAGGAACGTTTCCATGACGACAGTCGCGACTCTCTATATAGTCTCTTCTGTCTCTCGACTCGACTGGAGAGAGCGAAATATAGAGAGACAGAAGGGCGCCGAAAGCGACGTCAGCGGAATATTGCAGGACAGGGCGAGCATCAGCACCAGTGACTTCCAACTGCGTCACGGCAACGCGTTTCTCTCTCTCTCTTTTTCTCCCCCACTTCCATCAAGAATTACGGTAAACGCTGCTCCAACATTGACGTCAGACGATCGACGCGTGGATAAAACATGGATGCGTTATTCCGACGCACTGAGAGATTAGCGAATGACGTTTTTGTAAATGCTACTCATCAGAGGTTCCCATTGATGGTCGTTGAAACTAGTACAATAAAATCTCGTTCCAATAAATACCATTGCAAAAAAATTCAGTACGTTATGACAATTTTTCCCCAAGACCCGACAGAAAGTCTATACAGAGTAAATTTTAAAGCCATGTACTGTAGTTACTACAAACGTTACAATTCCTGTACAACAAACTCTTTCTTAGAAACATTTAGCGATTTTCCTAATATGAAGGCAGCACAGTCTAAAATTTCCCATTCAAAGTACGGGTTCTTATGATATGAATGGGAGTTAGGAATCAACAACAGAAAATTTTCGAAATTCACCTGAGCATTCTTGCTTTCAAATATATTTCCTGGATTAAAAGGGGGTTAGACGAAAATAAATAAACCCAGCAGAACTACTTATTTTGAAATGAGTTGATGGTTAAAAGGTAACCAACTGCTGTTTAACAATTCTAAGCTTTTTTGGAACATGGACCCGTACAAATCTGTGCTGGTGAATTGTTCTTCAGAAAAAACCTCTGCACTCAGAAAAGTTCTCTGAAATGACTAGCGTTTAACTGTCATTCAAAATTCTGATTGTTCATCATTGAAAATTGAATTTTTTAAAAGATTTTCAAACAGTTTTTCAAAGCGTGGAAAAACATCTGAAAAGGCCAGGAAAGGAAGATCTTGAATGTACCCAGGTTTAATTTGAAAGAATCTTCCCAGTCAATAATTTTGAAAATCTTGTACATATTAAAAAAGATTTGTTACTGCATTACCAACTTTTCCGAAGTCCCAATGAAATTATTGCAACAAGATTTTACTGTAGCTCTTGCTGTCCTAGATTATTATTTGTGTGTTAAACACTCACAAGCATTTGTTTGGGTTCAATGAAGCTTTGCTTCATGGAGAAATGGGACTGCATCTGGCGATTATTCTTGTTCCAGTCCAGATATAGCAACAATTTTAGCATCAAGATTGGTACCACTTGGACTAGGCCACAGGCATAATTGTTTTTGCGTGAATACTGCTGTATATTTCACTCAGCAACTCAGGGAGAGATTCTTTTGGTCTGCTGACTTTATTTGTTGCATAAAATGAAAAATCGTTTTGTTTTGAAAGCAAGTGACAGACTGATAAGGCAAATGAACCCTTGCCTCCAAGTTCAGCATCCTGCTAGTGTCAACTCATTTAAGAAGCAATATAAGGCCCAGAATATCACCATTGACAATTTCTTGTGATGCGTCCTTCATTTTTCCCAATGCAAATTGTTGGTCTTTTAGCAACTGGAAACCTCCCAAACTGGAATGTTCTTGTTGGCCCCTTGAAGTTTGATTTTAAAGGTTTGAATGTATCTGGAAATGAGAGTCATTGTTACAATTGGACCCAATATCTGATATTTTTAGAGTAGGTGTGATGGTGAAGAAAAATCTCAAAATACCCATGATGTTCTAAGGTTCTGGAATTTTTTCGGATTTTCAAAAAAGTGTATCAGTCTACTGTATGATGATGAGGGAAACCTTTCCAGTTACAACCGGAGTACAGTATGTGGTTCTCCGCCCATTTCACAGGATGCTAAAAATGTGTATTGCCAGGTAAAAATCGAAATTTTTTCCCAGTTTACCTATCATTTTTCTCCATTCAGATAATGGATAGAGCAACGAAAAAAATTATTTTTCTGTTAGTATGACACATTCTTAGCACCTTGTTACGTGTGTGGAGAACTCTGGCTGTAACCCGACAGTTTTCACTCATCATCATGCAGTAAATTCAAAAATATTCTTGAGAATAAAGTACAGTAGAAAATTCCAGAGCTTTATATAACATCATGGGCAATGTCATGATTTTTTTCCTTAACTATCGCACCTACTCTAGAAAAATCAGAGGTCGCGTCCAATGAGGAAGACCTTCTTATAAAAGAAAGAGATAGGAAGAAGTTCGAGATTTCGTAGCCATTTCCTCATAGCAGTTGTCGAAATCATAGTGGCTCCTCTATATAGGAATCTGTGCCAAGAGACAAGTCGTTACTCGCGCAACGTATATAACCCCGGCGGGCCAGGTGTTTATTTTTAAGCCGGAAACAAGGATGCGGCGAGGAATGCATCCGGAAAGCCGGCGCGATATCAGCTAGGTCGAGGTTTTCGCCTCGGGATCTGATGCACATACACTATACGTGCCAAGCGTCACGCGTCACCGGGCTGTCGATGCCATTACGGCTGATGGCGACGCGCGGGGGGTTTCGCACATCAGGGGTCTTCTGAATGACTGCACCCGCTCGGACGACGTTCCCTGTCCTGCTTACTCGTGAATTTCCGAAGGGTTGGGATTTGACATGATTTCGTCGAATTTCTTTCTACGCCGAGCCGGAAAGCGCGATATCCTTCGCGAGATGCAAAAGCCGTAGCCCCGTAACATTACAATAGAATGCGTTCCATATACGCATGTTTACGCATTAAGCGTGAGAAGTACACAAGATATGGGATTGAGTTTTCCACAGGTTCGACTCGAAAGAATTTCGGCGAATTCTACTTACGCCGGAAAGCCAACCCGTTCCCATACGATACAATAGCTGCAGCATTCAATACATGTAATGTTCGCACATCCAGAAAGAGTGCAAGGGGGTTATGCAAATTTTTGCCGTCCCTTGTTTTCCCTTTCAGCTGTTGATTGCTGTGTGTCTGTGTGTGCTTTTGCTTTTTCTCCTTCCTTGCTGCAGGAAAAAATAATATATATATTGAAAAATTAGGGGTGATGCGGATAGAAAAGAGATTAAGGTAATATACGTTTACTTCTGCTTCATCCCGGCTTAGAGTGTGCAAAATAGAAGAAATGAACAGAACTTCTAGTAAAGATTCGTTCGAGATGTGCCCCACACTCAGTCTAGTTCTTCGGATCTTACTGTTATTTATTTTCATATTATTTACAATGGTTTGGGTGATATATCGATCAGATCCTTGAAAACGATTTTCGGTATTTTTTTCTTGACTATCAATTTTTATTCTTCTGACTAACCCTATTTAATGTCATTGATGGAAGAAAAAAGTCAGCAAGAATTCAGTTCCTTGCGTGGAACCGTTTCAGACTAATCAGACATCACCTGTAAGAGAGGCCGTAAAAATGTAATCTAACTTTCTCCATATGATTAGAATGTTCTTCTTTAAATTTCAGGCTTTCTGTTTCACGGAGACCTGTTCTGAAATTTAAATGATGAACGATACGATGCTTCACATTTATGGAATAGGAAGTGATTGAAGCATATGCTGACGAGTCTCGTTTGTCATTCCTGATGGAAAAAATGATTTGTCATTCCTGATGGAAAAAATTGATGAAACACGCGGAAGAAATCACGGAAAAAATATTATTCCTCTTTTTAAATTACTGTAATTTTCAGGTCACATTTTAGATGCGCCTTCTGTTGAAGTTAGAATTTTTTTTTTCTAATACAGTCCGGCCTATTTAAGCCAGAAAAAAAAACAGTTCGATTTATGGAAGTTTCTTGTTAGGGAATCAAGCATTTTTGTTGGGG